ACGATGGTAATGCCGGTCTTTCTTCAGTTCCACACAAGTTTGCGATGCTAATGTTCATTAGAACGATGGTTTCGGGAAACACCGAATTGTTGAACTAGGCTGTTAACGACAGAACTTGCGACCATAGTTGGCTAACAATGCTTTCAGGAAACGCACCCCAGGGTCGGCTCACACTGGCTGGAATAGGTAGATCTACACATTCACATCTTACTTGTTGCATGCGCAAATTATGATACACTAATACAAAAGAAAACATATCTGCAACATTTATCAAGTTCATGGATAACATTAGGCTAATTGCATGTGTTAATAATGTGTAGCATATACTATATTGATCCCAAAGGTAGGCCTATATTAACATATAAATTACCATCAATCCAGCGATAAGGCAGCATTATGTTAACAGCTGCCCTATGGTCAGGTAACGTTAGGCAACGTGCTATGTGCTGACAGGAATTGGAGCATACGTTGCCTGGCTGACCATTTGAGTTTGTATTATTATTTTTTAGAGAAATTTGGAACTAGACCACAGCTAACTGTTCTATCTTACAGTCCAAGTGAGTTAGCAATATCATTTGTATAACAGTAACTTACCTTTGGTTAGTAGCCAGAGAGGTTTGTCGTGAAGAAATGTTAGACGTCGACCCGGAATGGTTGCCAGATGCCAGCAGGGTTTTCCAGCCCAAAACCTCGTCAAAACCCGAATGCAACGGTTGAACTCGAGATGCAAATGCACAAAAAGCTGCACACCAAATTATTTTGGCTTGTTTGTCGTTTTAAACGCATTGAAAAACGCGGCAACTTTTCTGCATCCTCCTTATTGCCTCAGTCAGCAGCCGCCTTTTTCGTTGTCAAACTGGTCGCACGTCAAACAATGACCCTTCGCTAAGCCACGCCCGAAAACAGCCACTGTCCAATCGTGGTGTAGCAACAGTAACTAAGGAGGGCGGGGCTTGCGTACCGGTGTCATGTAATGAAAAATCGTTATATATATAATCAAATATTTACTTTGTTTCTTTGCTTTGTGTGCTTTTTAAATTCGGACAAAGCCACAGACACAGAAATGAATCAAATAGCCATCAGATGGTTTAATCTGGCTTGCGACCGTGGCCGTGGTCTGATTCGCTGCAGTGATCACATTAGGTTTTGTATGTTGTTTATATTTGAATAAATATCACTGTTTATGACATTTAATACCTCCACACACATACACTTTATTTATTTTTCTCCATGCACACACACACTTACACTTGCTGTTCATGCTGTAAGTGCTCTTTTGCCTTTATTAAAATAAAAAACTATTTAGAAAATTACAAATTGTGTGGGTGTTTGTTTGGGCTTTCACAGACCAGGGCCAGGTGAGCCCCATTTTGCTGTCTGGGTCATGTTATTTAAAATACACATATAAAAGTTTTTGGCCTCCGATTTACCATCAAACTAACTACAACTCTAATGAAGACATATTTTGTTGCAAATTTGTGTTAATTTGCATAACCTTGTGGGAAAATGTATCATGTGGAGTGATTGAAGGCACCAAAAGAAGAGGACATCATTAGACATAACCACCTCAGCCTTTTATCACATGTCCAATCAATGGACTTTATGTGTATCGTGAAGAGCTGGCGTTGAAGGGGGATCATTTAAGGAACCTTTGAAATAATATGATGTATTCATTTGTAATATTTTGTAATAAAAACAGAGCAATTTAACAAGAGGGATGCAAAAAAGAAAAGTAAGACTTCCAGAGTGTCGTGTAACATCCAAAAGCACTGACTTCATTTGGCCATCAGGTGGCACCATTGATCGTAAGGTTGACGAGAATTTAATGAATGTCACACATTATTTCAGGGAAGAACAATACGTATTTTCATGCCATCGAAGAGGTTCTTGCTATCCAAGTTCCACATTCTTCTAGTTACATTGATTGCTTTTACACTTTGAAAATGCATTCAGTTCTGCTCTTTTGTTGTGATTATTTGACTGTTGCACACTGGACTGGAATTAAAACCCACTTGTTCAGTCATTCGTGCACGTTATACTCTATATTCATACAGTGTACTTTTATGCAGCAGCCAAAACATGTAAGTCTTCCCATCAACAATAATAATATGAAGCCCTTTCTAAATGTGCTCTGGTGGTGCATTAACTTCATGTACCATCACGCCCCGAACCAACAGGGTGCATGTGAATGGAGGGGTTGTACAAGGACCGGCTTGTGTGAGGGTTACTTTTCTGCCAATCCTATCTCTGACGTCCCCGGCAGGTTGATGTGATGGAATAAGGCCTTCGTAAGGTGAAGCGTCTCCAACATCACGCCGTCGGCTATCGGGGGCAATGAGACGCTTCACTGGACCTCTGAAGTTCTACTGGACCCCTTTTTATTCAACATGTTACTCACAAGAGATGCTTTACAGCGCCTCCATGTCTGTTTGCTCTCCCACAGACAGGGAAGGTGGAGGTTCTGACTCACTATTATCCATTTGGTTTTTCTAAAATACAGCTGTAAGATCTGGATTTTTCACCACTGTATTTAATAAATATATAAATATACATATTATATTGTAACGGTAAAAATATGTTATAACATTGTTTTGTGCTAAAGCCGTGTCTCAAGTGTTTTGGTCGATATCTTATTCTGTACGAAAGTTCTGGATCCAAGTTTTACTTTCATGTCAATTAATTATGATTTGCACCGGCCACTGAGGAGGATCTTGTGTGTGTGTGCTACCCTCAGCTTCACCTGGGTTCTTATCTCAACCTGCTTTGCAGCTTCTCGTAACTGGCACGGAGAATGTTCTTCACATGTGTATAAAAACTCAGCGTCTTTAGTGCTCGGAGACGCCATTTCCACAGAGCACTGTGATACGTGCCTGTGTATTTGACCTCCTGCTTGCAAGCAATAAATGGACTTTTTGCAACTTTGATCATTCATCAAGACTCAGATCAAATCATTCTCTTCTACCGAGCTTTTATTGAAATATTCCACAACAATATGTATGTATATATACATATATATACATATATACATATGTATCTACATATGTATATATATGTATATATATATATATATATATATGTATATATATGTATATATGTATATATATATATATATATATATATATATACACACATATATATATATATATATATATATATATATATATACACACATATATATATATGTAGAGTGGCCGTGTAGAAGTGGATCATCATGGTCTTTGGCAGGTTGTACAACCTCTGCTGAGCCTTCTTGGTGATGGAGCTGATGTTCATCTCCCACTTGAGGTCCTGGGTGATGATGGAGCCCAGGAAACGGATGGAATCCACAATAGTGACGGGGGAGTCACACAGGGTGATGGGGGAGGGTGGGGCTCTGTTAAGCCGGAAATCCACAACCATCTCCACTGTCTTTAGAGCGTTGAGCTCCAGGTTGTTGTGGCTGCACCACGACACCAGATGGTCAGACTCCCACCTGTAGGCGGACTCGTCCCCACCAGCGATTAGTCCAATGAGGGTGGTGTCATCCGCAAACTTCAGGAGCTTGACGGACTGGTGACTGGAGGTGCAGTTGTTGGTGTACAGGGAGAAGAGCAAAGGGAAAGAACGCAGAGGGGAACCGGTGCTGATGGTCCGAGAGGCTGAGACATGTTTCCCCAGCTACACGCGCTGTTTCCTGTCAGACAGGAAGTCTGTGATCCACTTGCAGGTGGAGTCGGGCACGTGCAGCTGGGAGAGTTTGTCCTGCAGCAGAGACGGGATGATGGTGTTGAAAGCAGAGCTGAAGTCCACAAACAGGATCCTGGTCTAGGTTCCTGGGGAGTCCAGATGCTGGAGGATGTAGTGGAGGGTCATGTTGACAGCATCGTCCACAGACTTGTTGGCTCTGTAGTCGACCTGCAGGGGGTCCCAGGGGGGGGGTCGGTGGAGGGACTTCAGGTGGGTCAGGACTAGCCGTCTCAAAAGACTTCATGACTACAGATGTCAGGGCGACAGGCCCTGTAGTCATTGAGTCCTGTGATCCTGGCCTTCTTGTGAACAGGGATGATGGTGGAAGCCCTTGAAAGCAGGCTGGTACGTGGCAGGTCTCCAGGGAGGTGTTGGAAGATGTCAGTGAACCCCGGAGACAGCTGGTCAGCACAATGCTTCAGGGTGTGAGGGGAGACGGAGTCCGGGCCCGGCTGCCTTATGGGGATTTTGTCTTTTTAAAGAGCCGGTTAACGTCTCTCTCCAGAATAGAGAGAGTCGTTGCTGGTGGGGGAGGGGAAGGAGATATAGATGAAGAGGCGTGAGCACCTGATGGGCTGGGGGAGGGAGGGGTGGGGGACTGCAGCAGGTTGGTGGAGCTGTGGGGGATGGGATCAGGACATTGTCTTTCGAATCTGCAGTAGAACTCATCCAGCTCATCTGCCAGGCGGAGGTCATTCATGGAGTGGGGTTTTTTTGGCTTGTAGTTAGTGAGGTGTTTGAGGCCTCTCCAAACCGAAGCAGAGTCACATGCTGAGAACTGTTGTTGGAGTTTCTCAGAGTACAGTCGTTTAGCATCTCTCACCGCGTTGCTAAACTTGTATTTGTCTTTGTCCCCGCTCCTAAATGCCTGATCCTTCTGCAGGCGTAGTGTTCTGAACTGGTGTGTGTGAGTAAAATCTCACTGGTGTTTTAGAGTGAGTAATATCTCACTGGTGTATGAGTGAAATCTCACTGGTGTGTGTGAGTGAGTGAAATCTCACTGGTGTGTGTGTGTGAGTGAAATCTCACTGGTGTGTGTGTGTGAGTGAAATCTCACTGGTGTGTGTGTGTGGTAGTGAAATCTCACTGGTGTGTGTGAGTGAAATCTCACTGGTGTGTGTGTGAGTGAAATCTCACTGGTGTGTGTGAGTGAGTGAAATCTCACTGGTGTGTGAGAGTGAAATCTCACTGGTGTGTGAGAGTGAAATCTCACTAGTGTGTGTGAGTGAGTGAAATCTCACTGTTGTGTGTGAGTGAGTGAAATCTCACTGGGGTGTACTTACTTATTTGAACATGTTAAGAATCTCCAGAACCTTTTTAGAATTGAAGGTTTCTTATCTGTTTTCACTTGTACTGGTGTCTCGAGCCGAGTGACCGTGACCTCCTCCACCAAGAAGAGTCTCTCGGTTGAAGATGGAGGTCGTTTCTTATCTGTTTTCACTTGTATTGGTTTCTTGGGCCGAGTGACCCCGACCTCCTTCTCCATCCAGCAGAGTCTCTCGGTTGAGGGAGGAGGTCGTTTCTTATCTGTTTCCACTTGTAGCGGTGTCTTGGGCCGAGTGACCTTGACCTCCTCCACCAAGAAGAGTCTCTCGGTTGAAGATGGAGGTCGTTTCTTATCTGTTTTCACTTGTATTGGTTTCTTGGGCCGAGTGACCCCGACCTCCTTCTCCATCCAGCAGAGTCTCTGGGTTGAGGGAAGAGGTCGTTTCTTATCTGTTTCCACTTGTAGCGGTGTCTCGGGCTGAGTGACCTTAACCTCCTCCTCCACCAAGAAGAGTCTCTGGGTTGAGGAAGGAGGTCGTTTTCTATCTGTTCTCACCTGTAGCGGTGTCTTGGGACGAGTGACCCCGACCTCCTTCTCCACCAAGAAGGAGGAAGAGGAAGGAGGTTGTTGGTGGGGTTCTTTGTCGTTCTCTAAAACCTGTGAGATACATCCGGGGGATTTAAAATTCCTACATGTCCTTTCTGAGACAGGCGCGAGTGGACGGACAGCTTCAAAACACTCATCGATCGCGTTCAAAATATGTTTCCGAATGATGTCTTTCAGGTCTGGGGGAAATTTAAACGCTTCCACTTTTACTTCTTGTCTTGTGTGCGATGGTTGTGCGTATTTCTCCAGTTCCGTGGACTCCTCATCGTCCTCTGCTGGCTTTTGTTCAGGATTCAACTGAAATATCGCGGGAGGTTTTAAGAAGGTCGGAGTCCAGTTCTCCAGGAGAGTTGTCCAGTTCTCCAGGAGAGTTGTCCAGTTCTCCAGGAGAGTTGTCCAGTTCTGCTGTTTCTTGAGACCGTTGTGCGTCACTCTGTTCTGACTTCCCTGCATCATACTTTGCTGGCTCGGACCCGCTGGACAAGATTGGGGAAAGAATCAATTCTCTATGCACAGGGACGCTTTCACTCTCCACGTGCTGGCATTTCTCATATCTATTTAATCTGAAGGCCTTCTTCCAGCAAGACGTCATTGCCTTAAAAAATCTCTTCTTTCTTCTTCCAGATTTTCCCTTGTGGGCTTGAACAGAATCACATGGTGAACTGATTATAGTGAGTGGATGGGCCCTATTTTCGTCAACTGAGCTTTTCGCGGCTATTTCAAAATAGTCATCGACCGTCTCTGAAACTAATTCCCGAATGATGACGTTCACTTCGGGGTTAATCTCAAATGTATTCACTTCCACCTGGATTGCAAAGTCATGCACCACATCATCATCTGAGTTCAGAGTGTCAGAACTCAGGGATCTTCGAGAATAAGAGGTTCCCGGGTATGCTGTGTGTTGTGACGGTTGGGCTTTTTCCAATTCCGTGGACTCCTTTTCATCGTCCTCTGCTGGCTTTTTGGTCCGGGATTCAACTGAAATATCGCGGGAAGTTTTAAGAAGGCCGGAGTCCAGTTCTCCAGGAGAGTCGTCCAGTTCTGCGGTCACTTGAGACCGTTGTGCGTCACTCTCCACGTGCTGGCATTTCTCATATCTATTTAACCTGAAGGCCTTTTTCCAGAAAGATCTCATTGCCTTAAAAATTATCTTCGGTCTTCCTCCAGATTTTCCCTTGTGGACTTGAACAGAATCACATGGTGAACTGATTGTAGTGAGTGGATGGGCCTTATTTTCGTCAACTGAGCTCTTCGCGGCAATTTCAAAATACCCATCGACCGTCTTTGAAATGTCAGAATCATACTTCGGTTCTTCAGCGTATGACGTGCTCGGGCGGTCAGGGGATGATGGACCGTCTTGTGATTGTGTTCCACTCCCCTCCGCGAACATTATCCTTGAATTGTAGTAATTCCTCAAATATTGCTGAATATTGTCCTCAAAGGAATCGTGATTCAGTCCGGAGGCTTCATCAGCCTTCCACAAAGAGATTTTCTGGTTCAGCTCACAAATCCCGTATACGGCCATATCTAGAGCGTGGGAAACCAGTGCTTCGGCCATGTCAGATTCAATTATATCTTGTTCACTGCTTTGTGTTGAAACGTTGTCTTCTTTCATGTTTTCCATCTTATCGCAATGCAAAATCCAGTGGACCAGATGTTCTCAAACTGTGGGGAGAGAACTTCTAAAAAATATATATATCGGTACAAACCGCACAGTAAATCGTCAGTTATGTCCACTTACGTCTTGTTAATAATATATCCTTTAGCGGTGCATCAAATTAATTATTTTCCTGCAATATTCTGGTTATTACCTTCCATGCAGTATTTCCAATGCACCTTGTTCGAAGCCCTCTGAGAAGTGATTCGAATAGCACACAATGGAACGTTTAAATGCTAACGTCTTTGAAGTTGCATGACGCACACTCCGGTTGTCATGGATACGTGCTTTCAAGTTGTATGACGCACACTTACCCTATGACGCACGCCGATTCCACAGACACTAGGGTGACCTGACGTCCTCTTTTCCCCGGACATGTCCTCTTTTTGGGACCTAAAAAAATGCGTCCGGCAGGGACTCCAAAAACGTCCGGGATTTTGCTTCGTCGGATATTTATGTTTCTCTGGGTCATTCACAAACTAGTTATTACGCCTGTTAAGAGTGTATGAATGCATGTACCTGTAACTGTTTCCTGGGTCGTGATATCAAGAGCACCATTCCCACATAAGGGCAGTGTTCCCTCCCCTTTTCCCTGTGTGCACCCGTCTCTCCCGTGAGCGGGCAGTTGAGCATGTTCTGCTTACATTAAAGAATGCCACGAGTCGGATGGCTAAAGAGATAAACGCCTGGACGTCCGTTCATTCTCCGAAAATCATTGTTCCGCCGCGCAGGTAGGCCGAATAAATAAGGCTACCTGTCAACAGGTTATGGGCCCAGGAACCGGGAATGATTCCAAAGTTTGACGGACTTGCGCGTCGATGGCTAGCATGACCGCGCTAGCATACAGAAGTATCCAAAAGAGCTAGTTTAGCATCGGGAGAACCGGGAAGCTAAAGCTATGTCAACAACGCCCTTACAAGTTTTGGACTCGGTATCTCCCTTACGTCCCACCTTCTTGCGCGAGCTCTGACTGTAGAGAGAACAGTCATTGGTCGACCGATCTCAACGCTGCCAATAACAATGACATGAGATATGTTGTACTCATTGCTATGTTAAGGATTTATATATATATCTATATATCTATATATATATATATATATATAGATATATATATATATATATATATATATAGATGCCTTTCACTCAGTCCTTACTGAATAACTACTCTCATTCATTCACTCACTACTCCTCCCACCCCACTTTTGTCACATTTATTATTTATTTGTGCAAGCATTTTACTATGATGTCATGTAATGAAAAATCGTTATGTATTATCAAATATTTACTTTGTTTCTTTGCTTTGTGTGCTTTTTAAATTCGGACAAAGCCACAGACACAGAAATGAATCAAATAGCCATCAGATGGTTTAATCTGGCTTGCGACCGTGGCCGTGGTCTGATTCGCTGCAGTGATCACATTAGGTTTTGTGTGTTGTTTGAATTTGAATAATTATCACTGTTTATGACATTTAATACCTCCACACACATACACTTTATTTATTTTTCTCCATGCACACACACACTTACACTTGCTGTTCATGCTGTAAGTGCTCTTTTGCCTTTATTAAAATAAAAAACTATTTAGAAAATTACAAATTGTGTGGGTGTTTGTTTGGGCTTTCACAGACCAGGGCCAGGTGAGCCCCATTTTGCTGTCTGGGTCATGTTATTTAAAATGCACATATTAATGTTTTTGGCCCCCGATTTACCATCAAACTAACTACAACTCTAATGAAGACATATTTTGTTGCAAATATGTGTTAATTTGCATAACCTTGTGGGAAAATGTATCATGTGGAGTGATTGAAGGCACCAAAAGAAGAGGACATCATTAGACATAACCACCTCAGCCTTTTATCACATGTCCAATCAATGGACTTTATGTGTATCGTGAAGAGCTGGCGTTGAAGGGAGATCATTTAAGGAACCTTTGAAATAATATGATGTATTCATTTGTAATATTTTGTAATAAAAACAGAGCAATTTAACAAGAGGGATGCAAAAAAGAAAAGTAAGACTTCCAGAGTGTCGTGTAACATCCAAAAGCACTGACTTCATTTGGCCATCAGGTGGCACCATTGATCGTAAGGTTGAAGAGAATTTAATGAATGTCACACATTATTTCAGGGAAGAACAATACGTATTTTCATGCCATCGAAGAGGTTCTTGCTATCCAAGTTCCACATTCTTCTAGTTACATTGATTGCTTTTACACTTTGAAAATGCATTCAGTTCTTTTGTCGTGATTATTTGACTGTTGCACACTGGACTGGAATTAAAACCCACTTGTTCAGTCATTCGTGCACGTTATACTCTATATTCATACAGTGTAGTTTTATGCAGCAGCCAAAACATGTAAGTCTTCCCATCAACAATAATAATATGAAGCCCTTTCTAAATGTGCTCTGGTGGTGCATTAACTTCATGTACCATCACGCCCCGAACCAACAGGGTGCATGTGAATGGAGGGGTTGTACAAGGACCGGCTTGTGTGAGGGTTACTTTTCTGCCAATCCTATCTCTGACGTCCCCGGCAGGTTGATGTGATGGAATAAGGCCTTCGTAAGGTGAAGCGTCTCCAACATCACGCCGTCGGCTATCGGGGGCAATGAGACGCTTCACTGGACCTCTGAAGTTCTACTGGTCCCCTTTTTATGCAACATGTTACTCACAAGAGATGCTTTACAGCGCCTCCACGTCTGTTTGCTCTCCCACAGACAGGGAAGGTGGAGGTTCTGACTCACTATTATCCATTCGGTTTTTCTAAAATACAGCTGTAAGATCTGGATTTTTCACCACTGTATTTAATCAAAAGTTGTACCTCACACATCCAACAGTGCGGTTTTAGTTGGGCGGCTAGTTTTCTGGCACATAAATAATTGCTGCAGTAAAAATCCCCAGAGCAATATAGCTTAATAATGGCGGTACGAGGATTCACTCGTGGGTCGACGGTGGCGCACGGAGTAGAGAGGGTTTGGCGGGAACCACAAGGTTGCGGTTTGAGCCCTGGCTGCTCCATGTCCCATGTTGAAGTGTCCCTGAGCAAGACACCCAACCCCTAATTGCTCCTTGGGCAAAAATAATAATAATTAATAGCAAATCAGCATTACTGTCCAGTTTGACCTGAACTCTCCATCTGATTGTGTTTATTGTTGTTAATAACCTGAATGTATATGCGCACCATAAAGCCTCGGCTGCAATAAGAAAGAAGGAGAGATGGTCGAAAGATCAGACGATTCAGAAAAGGGCTTGAATGGGGGCATCGGCCAACCAGAGCCGGACGTAGACATAAAAATAAATCCACATTTTGACCGACCCGTGCGTCTGCCGCGAGGCCTTCAGAAAGGCCTCCTCTAGAGTAGTTCCTCTTGAATCCATCAAGGTGAAGCTCAACATGTGTCCTCTCCACACTCTCTGTGCTGTCATGTAGATGTTGGTTCAATCGTGTATTTTCAGGATATTGATATTTTATGAGGCAATTTACACTTTATCCTCCAGAAAAGAAATTGTCCAAATAGTCAAAGCAGTTCCAGAGTGATTATACTTTTTATCATGGCTAAGCCAAAATATCATCCGAAATTACAGCTAAACCTAGCCAGCTAGTGCTAATGACAGCTAGTGACTTAGCATTTGCTGTGCCAAACGCATTACCCCGGCTGGCCCCGCTTTTACCCAGCAGATCAGTGGATCAGTCAACCACCAGAGGACAATGAGTACACATGGAGGCCGGGAGTGGCGGTCCGATGGGCCGTGTCCCTCAGTTAAGCTCTCATTCCACACGAGGGCAGAACGTGATGCCGTCATACTCCACTTTCCCCATCTCTAGGAATATCTGAAAATTGAGCGTGGGATAGAAAGTCAAGCACGGCCATCAGCATCACAGAACCAACACACACGTTTATCAAAACCTAGGAGGCAAAAAAAGATGAAAATAGGTAACTTACTTGTATAATAGACTACATTTAATTTAGCCTAGAACAGAACCTGATGAAGCAGTCGATCAATGCTTGTTGTATGAATTTGTGATGGTCACCTGCTCACTGAGCTCTCTGGTACCTTCTGATGCTGTTCATGCCCGACATCTCTCCTCCAATAACAGAGGAGCCTTCCATCTCCGGCTGCCAAACATCAGCTGGCTTTCTAATTCATCATTATTTCCATTTCCTATAAGAAAACGCGGTATGTTTTTTTCCAGTTGTTATAAAAGGAGTGCGATGTGGCCTCTGTGTTTATGCTTGATCATCCTTAATGCCACCACCGATGCTAATGGAAACAGCAGCGCAACATTCACTTTACTCACAGCTGCCACTTAATGTGCTCTGCTTTCTTTTGCGTTAATCTTCCTTTCACTTTCTCAGCACAAGTTTCCTGCCTGAAATCTACCCGGTTGTATGATGGATATTTCCTCAATAGCAGCTTTGGAAGATGCCCCTGCTGGGCTCCGCCCTCTGCCCGCCTGCTTTGATGGATTACGTCGACTGCTATTTCCGTCTTGTTTGTCAGAGACGAGACAAAAAGATTGCACCGTCTCACTGGAGGCGTTAGGAGTCAAACCGCCGCACAGAGAGAGAAAGTTGGGGGCGGGACTTTAAACACCAAACCACACTGCAGGTGGCAGCCACAAACCTGGATATTATTCATAACTATCAAAGGGAAGAGGCAGCTCATGCCACATCACCACATTACATTAGAAATTAACTGTTTGGTCAATTTCAAGATAACAACTAAGTAAAAAAGGTCAAATCAAAATCACTTGTCAGCAGCTAAAAGCCTCCGTTCTTACGTAACTTGCGTATTCATATTCATGTCTAGTTTGGCCCCATTTCCTTCAGGCACGGAGACTGATGGCGACAGCTCTCGGTTTCATCAATAAAGGACTCAACGTAAACTTTATCAAGCGGACGCTTGAAGAAGGGTCAGTGTAAAAGCTTAATAGATTCCATTTGAAGGGGAAAGCTCTCTCCTCCATTGTCACCGCCAGCCTTTTCGTCTGTCAGCCTTCCATGTGGGCCGTTGAGGAGGTCATCCATCTGGACTGCAGCGTTGTCATCGGCTTTGTTCGCTCGACACCTCTGAACTGAATGATCCAGCCACAGGGGCGTCGTTTGTGGTTCTCGTTCTCACTTTTCTACGGTCTCAACTCTGCAACACATTGCGCACGTTGCAGTCTACGTCGTTATCGTCCTCTCCTGCAAACCAACACTTCCATTTGCTCAGTCCGAAGCAAAGCCACACCGGTTAGCGTCTTATGTTATCTGTGGATAAACTCCCTTTGCATTCAGATTGAATGACTAAAGTTAACTGTTGCTGAATGGTGAATTAAAAGATGATTATTTAGTGTTAACAGCTCTCAGTAATCACGATTACGGGGATTAACTGCTTGTATGTATCTAAAACTCAAAGTATGAAAGTGCAATGACCCCCCCTCCTAACTATCGGTGCAGAGTGAGGAAACCAAGGCTCATTTTCCTCAGATGAATCACTACTGAATGAAAAGATGAGGCCATTAAAGAGTTTATAGCGGAATAACCCACTCCCAGCAGACATAAGTCAACAAGCAGACGGTCTGAGGTTCATTTTACATAATCAATAAAGCTCCTCCGGTAATGTTTCCATTTCGAATGGCATTAAAGATTTCGGTTCAATGCATGGATGGACCCGGGGCCGGAGTGAGCCTCTCATGCGTCAGGCTCCATCGTTTGGCTGAAATGTGACTAAATGTGCTGCATTCAAGTAGTTCAATATTCAATAGAAAAATAGTTCCGCTTGGTGACTCAAATAGAAAATAAAAAATTCATCCAATATCAGAAAAGGTTTCACTTCATGTGGCATGAGTTGGTGGACACGCGGGGGTTTACATTCGCATTAAGAGAGTAAAGAGCACGTTCCAGCACATTATGTGATGTCTGGAGTTTTGAATCCAAAATATCTGTTTGCTTTAGTCGGAACTCAATGTACCTCTTTGGTACGTTTTGGTTTTGATTTGCTCAAACATTTCCAGCTTTTGTGGTTTTCTTAATGAAAACAGTGGTAGTAGTTATGTGCCCCCCCC